TCATCTATCTATCTATCTATCTATCTATCTATCATCTATCTATCTATCTATCTATCTATCTATCTATCTATCATCTATCTATCATCTATCATCTATCAACTTTGTCTTTTTGAGACAGGGTCTCCCTGTAGTCCTAGCTGGCCTGGAATTCACTATGTAGACCAGGCTGGCCTCAATTTCAGTGCCTGCCTCTGCCTCCTGAGTGCTGGGATTAAAGGCGTGTGCCACAATATCTGGCCTATCTTGGCTTTTAAATCTTTATTACATTAGTATATATGTGTGTGTGTGTGTGTGTGTGTGTGTGTGTGTGTGTGTGCACGCACTACTCAGCTTGTTGTGGAGGCCAAAGGACAACTTTCAGGGATTAGTTCTCTCCTTCCACTAAAATAAAAAATTAACTAATTTATGGGGGAGTTGGCACCAGCACATATCATGGCACATGTGGGTTGGTCAGAGGACAACTTGAGGGAGTCAGTTCTCTCCTTCCACCATGTGGGTCCCATGAAGTCGTCAGGCTCAGCAGCGGGTACCTTTGCCTACTGAGGCATCTCGCCAGCTCCCACTTTATGTGGTAGGGACTTTCTTGCTGTCTCTGCTGTGCTGCGCAGATTTCCAGGTGTTTCTCACGTCTCCACCTCCCACCTTGCTGTAGGAGTACTGGGATTCCAGACGGACACTTTTACCCACTGAGACATCTTGTTGGCCCCATCTTGGGTTTTTTTTTTTTTGAGGCAAGGTCTCATGTGGCCTGGGCTGACTTTGAGTTTTTATCATTCTGCCTCAGTTTCCTGAGTTCTGGGGTGACAGGTGTGCACATCTGGCAGGGCTCTCTGTTTTAAGAGCCCAGGTTGTGCCTATTGGGGAAACAGAGAATCTAGCCCCATGCCAGACCCCAGGGGGAGCAGTTCTGTAAACAAAATCTCAGTTGTGCAGAAGCTGAGTCCCAGGTAGCTGTTCACAACTGCAGGTAGACTGTCAGCATCAGGGCTGGATGCTGACACACAGTAGACAGCCCTGTGGCCTTTGGCTGGCAGCAACAGAGAACCAACCACTTGTGGTTTATGATTCTGTCCTGGGAGGGACACTGTCTGTGGGTCACTGATTTACATCAAACTCTACTTCCAACATGAACTGCCAGGCCTGGCTCATGTCTGGACGACTCCACATCTGTGAAATGTGATTCAGAAGGCAGCATCAGGACCGGTTCCTAGGGTGGTAGTGTCAGGAACCTAGGCCTGACAAAAGAACCCTGTGGGCAAGTTAGGTCTGTTGAGGTAGAGCCCCACACTAGGGGCACGGGGTCCCAGAATCTTCCCAATCACTGAACTGGGCTTAGGCCAGCTAGAGCCCAGTCCCTTTGACAGTGTGCTGGAGAGGTTGGCTGCCAGTTCATACACGGCTCTGAGTAGAGCGTTGTCCTGGCTCGTTTTCCTCCTGGGCCAGATGCTGAGGCAGAGGCAAAGCAGGATGGCACTTGAGGACCAGGGTGATGTGCAGTCCCACAGCTTTGCACAGGCAGTTCACACCTTCAATAGGATTGCCTGTTCTGGGCACCTGGGGGGTGAACACCATGTTTTTCTGCTCGATTCCAGTTCTTTGGAAGGAATCCCTTTCTCATGCCCAGAGGAAGTGAATTTTGCACAAACGTAAATGCAGACAGGCCACTGTACTACTGTAGATCACATGGTGTTCTGGATGGCTGCAGGGCCACAGCACTTCCACACCTTGTGCTCACAGTCCATTTCCCTTCCCTGCAGGCGTTTTCTGTGCTGTTCAGCAGGGGTTAGGCAGCCTTTGGGACCCAGCCTGAGCCCCAAGGCTAGTTCTCAGCTGAACTCATATTTCTGTCCATACTGCATTCCCGTTCCCTGCAGGCCTGCAGAGGCTCAGCAGCCCTTCAGATCTGGCCTGAGCCCCAGGGTGGGTTCCCAGCCTCCCCGGGGTCTCCAGGTTCTCCACAATGCACAGAAGGAGGTTGGTGGGAGAGGAGGTGGAGGCAGAGAGAAGCTGGGACTGTTATGTAGTCTGCAGTCACGAGGCATCTGCACAGACGAGTGCAGTAGGAGGCCCAGAAGCCCCTAGCCTAGGCCAGCCTGGAGGACCAGGAGGACAAAACCTGCCACAGATACTCAGGATGAGGCCTGGAACATACTGGAGCAGGGACATCAACAGCAGCAGGTATAGTGACCATGGTCTCTAAGGAGGGAGTATGCCCAGGACTGAGCTGAGGCTGGGCAGCCAGAGAAGGGCGTCCAGGCAGCAGAGACCCTTAAAGCTGGGAGGGGAACTCACTCACCTGCCCGCTCCCCCTGCCTCCGGCCCATGTCAGGAGGGCTGGCCTTGTAGTGACTACCACTGTGTACTTCGCGGTGGCTGTCGTTGAGAGGGAAATGACCTTCTCACTGGTTTCCTGAGATTGCCTTCGGGACCCACAACAACCAGAGGCTATAACCTCCTCCCCAGAGGTCTGGCTCCAGAGCCAAGGTGTGGGCAACCAGCAACCCTGCAGGGGGCACCACAGGGCAGGACTGGTCCAGCCTCTCCTGCCGTCCCTCCACTTGTTGGCTGTCTCCCTCCTCATGGAGCCTTTCTGTCCTTCCTCCCTGTAGCCAGGAAGGGGAAGCTTTTCTTAGGACAATCCCTTTGAATTTGGGGCCTGTCCTCACCCTGAAGTCTCACTTTGAATCTGACCTTCATCGTATCTGTAAAGACCCGATTTCTAAATCAGGCCACATTCGGAGGATCCGGGTGGACATGAACTTTTAGAGAATGTGACTCAATCCAGCCTGGCCTTACATAACACACCACACAGCAAGGGGGCAGCAAGAGCTAGGTGGGCTTCACACAGTGCTTTCTACAGTTCCAGCCCTGCCTGCTGATCCTTGGACCTAGTGCCGATGGCCAGGCCATCTTTACAGATGGGGAAACTGAGGCTGAGTAGTCACACAGACCACCAGAGCTGGAACAGGCACCCAGGTGCGCGGTGGCTGCCTCTGGTCATTTCTTTGCTCTTAGACTTAGGGGTGTCTTCTTGGCAGTTGTAGAGAGTTGGGGTTCACTCAGCTAGGCACTGGGAAATCGCGTGGGGGGCAGTGGACTCTCCAGGGGTCCCTAGTCCTTCCAGAGTGTGGGGTGGCCAGAGACGTGTGCCCAAGGGATGGGGGGGGATGCCAGGGAGCAGCAACCGCCAGGCAATGCCTGTTCGAGATAGGGAAGACTCTGCTGGGAGTTTTCAGCACTTTGGACCGTGTAGGAAGCCTAGTCACTCACTCTACAGACCAGGCTGCGGCTGTGCTGGGAGGGGGGCTGGGCCAACCCAGGCGAGCATCCCAGGGATGCCCGAGAAGGGACAGGCGGCCTGCACCCCCAGGACTCCAGAGGACGCCATTCAACAACGAGGCGGGGGAGAGGAGCACCGAGTCTCGCCCGGGGTCGCAGTTTTTCTGTCTGCACTGGGAGGTGCTGGGTGCCCGGTTCCCCTCCCTCCGCCCGACGTCATCCAGAAGCAGCCCGTGCTTCCCGGCCTCTGTGTTTGCACTTGGTCGGCTCCACGGATGCCCGCCGGGAGGACGACCCACCCAGGAGGCAAAGGTCTGGGGGGGAGGTGGTCCTCCTGCCCGGTCCGGGACAGGTCAGGGGCCGGCCCTCTGTGGGCTCACCCCTTCCCCCGGCCCCGGCCCGGTATTATTATCCTCGTCTTCCCAGGGAGGTCCCTAGGGCTCAGAACCGGCGACTCGCCCAAGGTCACACAGCTCGGCCCGGGCGGACCCTGGGCGGGAATCCCGCGCGAAGTCGGCTGTCCCGCGCCCAGCCCCGTCCGCTCTCTCCGGGCCGCGGCCGCCTCCCCGAGAAGGCGCTCGGCAATAAAGCGCCAAGGCCCCGCGCCCTCCGTTCCCCAGCCCCAGGCTCCCGGCTCCTCTGCGCGAACAAAAGCACGCAGAAATCCACCCCGGGTTTTTCGCATCGCCGACCCCCGCCGACCAATCCGGGGCCGCCGGCCGCCAGGGGGCGGGACGGGGCGGGCGCCGCGTGATCGACAGCCCCTTCGGGGGCGGGGCCTGCGCGAGGGCCAATCGAGGGGCCCGGCTGCCGCCAGCTCGCGCCGAGGACAG